GCATGGGGTTCAGTACAATGCAAGCTGTCACCTTTGATGAGGAGCCGCATGCGTCCATGTAATAGATGTTGTAACTGATGCTTCAAGTCTTTCAGAACTTGCTGAAGGCCCTTCTGCCAGTGTCCTTTGTGTTGCTGACACAGAACACCTGGTATTGGTTACTTTATTGAGCAGTTCATTTGGGGCCTGGGGAGACTGAGAAGTCTGAGAGGATGATGCCGTATCCCCTTGGGTTCAAAACAGAAGGCCGAGGGTTGAGCAAGCACACAGAGATAAAACACAAGAGTGGCCCTGTTTTACCAACTTGCTGTCTTGTGAACTGGCCCGAACCTGTGAGAACTTCAGTATTCCCTCTTAAGACCTAATCACCTGTCAACACTGCCACGGGGCAAGGAACTTTCAGCTTAAATTGAAGTCATGTTCAGACCCCAGGAGTCATACATCTGTTAAGTGCTGGCACTCAGCTCGTGTTCCACAGGAACTGGAAGTGTGTCCGCACCAAGGTCACCACCACCTGCCTCACAGTTTGCTGGGCACACCCTCACTTCAGCAGAGCCCTCAGCAGCTCTCGGTGGTGGTCTCTTCTCATGTGAGGAACTGAGTGAGGCCTGGCAAGGTTTAAACAGCTTACCCAGGATTCCACTGCTGCCAGCCTTCCGCTGGGCCTCACTTTATTACCCAGGTCTCTGTAAGCTGTTCAGACAATGCTTTGACTTGGTGTCTTCACCTTCTGGTGCCAGCCTTCCAAATCACAGCCACAGGTCCCTAGGGAGACACTACCAGACTCTCAAGGTACACCAGGTCAGGTTACCCCACAAGCTCGCTTTCCAGAGCCTGGTCCCCAGCCATGCCTGGCAGAGCTCCCATTATCCTTCTCAAGGGTCTGCCTTGTTGCAGTGAGTGGTGCCTATCCGTGGAGCTTTGTCTCTGCTAATCTGAGGGTTGAGCTGAGGGTTACCAAGCCGACGATACTTTGCAGCGTGTCACCGCTCTCTAGAGATCCAGAATCAGCTTGTTAACCGCAGACTCTGGTGGCACTGTTCTGTCCGCTGCCTCCTCTACCTCCCTTCTTTCCCCCATGAGCTGCTCCTGGAAGGGTTTGCTGCCAGGAGTGGTGGGGCATATCTGCAGTCCAAGTGGCCAGGAGGCTGAGGTAGGGGGATCTAAAGTTCAAGTTGCCAGACTGGGTTATACAGTGAGACCTTATCTAAAGAAAACCTATTTCAAGATTATGTATTTTATGGTTATAAATCTTCCTTAAATTAGGAGCATTTGAGGAGCCTGATACTAGTTTTCTTTATATATATATTTCACCCTGATGTCCTGCATGTCCCAAGTAGCATATATTATTGTTTAAAACTTCATGTATCCCTGCTCAGAAATGAATGGGAATGCTCCTATGGTTACATTTAGAATTATCATTGGTTACCCACTGCTTCTGCTGTTGCTTATGGGAGGAGCTAGCTATGGAATATCCAGAAACACAAAAAGCAAAGAGAGCAAACTCAAAAAGCAGATATAAAAAAAAAAGAAAGAAAGAAAAGAAAAAGAGAGAACTCTCTCAGAGTATCAGAGTATATGATCCAGAGGGGCTTCAGTTTGTGAGGAGTGAGCCATGTGACCTGCTAATCAATTAAATATGTATCGTGGACTTATTAGTTTGCCTTCATACTTACACTGTTGGTCTCTGATGATGTATCTTGGGCTTCTTATATTACTCGGTAAAAATCTCCAAGTTTCTGCCAATTCCATCAGTAAAGGTTTATTGTTTCCCATAAAGCCAGTTAATGGCTTTTTATTAGCCTTAGATTCATTTGTCGATTTTAAGAAGAGCTTTATTTCATTCATAATTCTCTATCAAAATCTCTTTAGTAGTTAGTAGTGCATATAACGCTGAGGACAGGAAGAGGCAAGAGGTGCTTAGAGTATTTTTTTTCCTAGGATGAAGTATTCAGGTGAATTTGTTCTCTCTCTTTGCCCCCTCTCTCTCCCTGTCTCTGTCTGTCTGTCTGTCTGTCTGTCTGTCTGTCTCTCTCCCTCTCTGTCTCTGTCTGTCTGTCTCCCTCCCCCATGCTAGGGATCAAACTCTACCTTGTGCACACTTGGCAGGTGTTCTAGCACTATCTATAGAAGTGATCTCAGGTGAATAATTTTACAGAGAAACCACCCCAAATGTGCAGCTGCTTCTATCTGGACTCAGGATTGCTCACATTCCATAAGCATCTGTTATTGGCAATAATAACAAAAGTTAAAATGAGTGACAGTGTGTACCATGTATCATATCAGGTCTTATTCTGAACATACTGTGTACCAAAACACCTCAGTAATTCTTCCTAGCAACCTTGTGAGACCATCATTTCACTGTTGCCCCGTGCTCCATGAGTTGGTAGCACCAGAGGATCAAATAACACTTTAAGGATACAGATGTCATGGAGTGTGGCTTCCCACCGAGACCTTTTGGAAATCAAGCTATTCCTTCAGAGATTCTCAAAAAGAAGCCCTGAGGCTTCCTGAGATATTTCTAGGGGAGCAATGAGGTGCTGAAACTTGAGGCTTGGACCTTGTATGTGCTAAGGATACCCTCTACCACTGAGCCACACCTCATTCCAGCCCCTCTTCATTCTGTGGTTTAGTTAGAACAATCTTGGGGTACAGTGAATGCAGAGTCACAGATACCGGTTTATTTAAATGTTTTTGAACCAGACAATAAAAATATTTGGAAAATTATGAAATAACACAATCATGAAGCTGTAGTTGGAAAGTTTTTCTGTGTCCCACCCAGTCCTGCAGCCGCTCAGACCCAAATAAACACAGAGGCTTATCAATTACGAATTGCATGGCCATGGCCTATGGCTCAATTTTCTTGCTAGCTAGCTAGCTCTTATAATTAGAATTAGCCCATTTCTATTAATCTATATGTCACCACATGTTCCGTGGCTTTACCTGCGTGCCATTACATGCTGCTCCCTAAATGGCCGGATGGCTTCTCCTTGTCTCTCCTTTCTCTTCCTGTCTATCTGCTTGGATTTCTACCTGTCTCTAAGCTGCCTTGCCATAGGCCAGTGCAGCTTTACTTATTAACCAATGGAACAACATATATTCACAGTGTACAGAAAGACATCCCATAGCACCTGGTTCATTCTAGAAAATATAATTGTCACAAAAATGTTCTGTTAATACATAAAGAACTTATTATGTATTAAAATGAAGTCAAGCATGGTGATATGTGCTTGTGGTCCCAGCCCTCAGGAAGCTGAGGCAAGATCATGAGTTCGAGGCCATCTTGGGCTACATAATGAAACTGTTTCAACAACAACAACAAAAAAGTCGTGTAATCCTATTTTTAATTCCAAATCATGTTTCTCACTTGCTAAATGTTGGTCAGGGACCCTTAATAATTTGGGGGCACAGAGGGGCCCTGAGACCAAATGTTTGCCTTCCTGTCATGTGGCCTTATTGCCCATGAGGCTGTGTCCAGCTGAGCTAGGCCTCAGACTCTTCATCACTCACTTGTCCAGTTTTAGGCAGGGCTTAACTTCAACTCATTTCTTTCTTAGGGAGAGATGATGGTCTCTGCTATCTGTAATTTTCTTTATGTTTCTGATGTGCTTTGCCGGCACTCTCCTGTGTGAGTTCTAAGAAAACGATAAGTCTTTTGTAATGCTGGGAGTCAAACCCAGGACCTTGTGTGCCCCAGGCAAATGCTCTGCCACTGAGCTGCAACCTGGTCCTGAGGGTGAAGTGTTCTGGGAGCAGGTCTCCCTCCACTCTTCAGCCCCTTGGCCCACTCCAGTGATTAGCATCCTTTGTCCTCAGGAGACCACCCCAAGCATCAGGCTTTGCCCAGTGATTAGTCAGAGTGCCAGGCTAATTGATTAATGACAATACTCATAATGAGAGCTCATGAGCACCTGCCACATGCCTCGTTTTCCACCTGGCGCCACCAAGGAGTCTCCTGAAATCCTCAAAGTGTCCTTGCAAGGCAGATATTACTGTCCCAGGTGAGGAACCCACGCCCACCCGAGATTGAGTAGCTGGCCTATCACACCTCTGAGAGGTGGCACGAGAGCTTTCGTTCTCCAGCACCGGCAGCACCGGCAGCACCGGCAGCACCGGCAGCATCGGCAGCACCGGCAGCACCGGCAGCCTGTGTTCTGGTAATAGAAATTTCCATTGTTACAAACGGCTGTCTCATTAGCTCTTATGCTGATGTGCCTCCGTCCTGCAGACCTGCAGACCTTCCCCACCACTGTTACTCCTTTTTCATCTCTTCCTTTCCTGCCTTTGGAACACATGGATTCGATCTGTGGTTCCTCACATGCAAACGAGCTCACACAGCCTCCGTGGTCTTAGTTCTTTTAGGTCAGATGTAGAGAAAGAAGGCAATCCCACCCAAGGAACAAGACATCCTTTCACTATACCTAGACAATGTCTTGAACAACAGAGGAGCAGCAGGAACAATTCCCTGGCACTGAGTGTTCATGAAGCCCAACTTGGGGTCTGGCAGAGGGAAGTGGGAGTCCTGTCCTGCTCAGAACAAAGGGATGAGGCCTAAGAATCTCCTGATATGCCAACAGCCATGTGTCTAATGGCTGTGTGTCTGCACTGTCCTGTGACCGCTGTGTGTCTGTCCTGTGACCGCTGTGTGTCTGTCCTGTGATCACTGTGTGTCTGTCCTGTGATCGCTGTGTGTCTGCACTGTGATCACTGTGTGTCTGTCCTGTGATCACTGTGTGTCTGTCCTGTGATTGCTTGTGTCTGTCCTGTGATCACTGTGTCTGCACTGTCCTGTGATCACTGTGTGTCTGTCCTGTGATCACTGTGTCTGCACTGTCCTGTGACCACTGTGTGTCTGTCCTGTCCTGTGATCACTGTGTGTCTGTCCTGTGATCACTATGTGTCTACACTGTCCTGTGACCACTGTGTATCTGCACTGTTCTGTGACCACTGTGTGTCTGCACTGTCCTGTGACCACTGTGTGTCTGTACTGTCTCCCACAGTTCCGAGAAGAAGTACTGCTCTGGCACTGGCTGGCCTTCGTTTTCTGAGGCTCACGGCACAACAGGCTCAGATGAAAGTCATTCAGGGATCCTGAGACGCCTGGACAGTTCCTTAGGATGTGCTCGCGTGGAGGTAGTCTGCAAGCAGGTGATGTGTTTTGCTTTCTCTGAAAGGAAAGGAGCTGTCCTTTTCTTGGTGCCTCTCTTGTTCTTCCATGGTGTACGTCGTCATCAAAATGCCCTAGACTTGTACCCCTCTCTCCCATCCCACCATGCACTGAAGATGAAGGTGGCATCTCTCCACCTCCCTCCTACTTAGCAGCATGCCACCAACAGGCGGATTCATTAGCCCCTTACTCCTTGGAGCCTGAGGAGGAGGAGCTTGGGTTCAGACAGAAAACTTGGCTAGAGTTTTATTATTGTTATAATTATTATTACTATTATTATTTGTTGTGTTTGCATTTGTGTGTGTGTGTGTGTGTGTGTGTGTGTGTGTGTGTGTGTATGTGTGTGCATGCGAGCGCAAGCTCCATGGCACATGTGAGAAGGTCAGAGGACAAATCTCAGGTGTCAGTTTCCTCCTCCTTCCCCCTGTGGGTTCTGTGGATTAAGTCAGGTTGTCAGGATCACACCTCAAGTGCTTTTATCACTGAGCCGTTTTGCCAGCCCAAGGAGACTCACTGTTATGTTCTTTAGTGCTCATGTTTTCTGTTGCATGGGTTTCATAAGACGGTAGTGGCCAGCAGATGAAAAGGACTAAGTTTTGCCTGCAGGAAGGAGAAGTGATTGTTGAGTGCTCACCCAGATTGTGTCAATCCTTACCCGACTTGTGCTGGGTTGTCTTCATAATGGCTCTGTTGTGTAGGTTATGGTTGTGATCCCCATCCGATAGATGAACAAGTCAAGACCTAAGTTAATCATTTGTCCCCATGCTCACTGGGTCAGTAGTGCTGCCTACTGCCAGAGCTCTCTGTGTATATCCATATATCCATTGTGAACCAAATTCTAACACAAAAGCCATGCTTCCCAGCTGCCAGGCTCTGGGGTGGGGTGGGCCATGTGGAGTTGTTTTCCTGAAGAGTGACAAAGGCGTCTCTCCCCTGCAGTGTGATGCTCACCTCGGTCATGTGTTTCCCGATGGACCCGAGCCCACTGGCCAAAGGTTTTGCATCAACAGTGTGGCCCTGAAGTTCAAACCAAGCAAGCACTGACCATCTCCAGGAGGCCCGTGCTTTGCCCTCCACCTTGCAGAACCTTGTTTCCGAATTCAGATGGACGCCTTGTTTCGTTCACAATACATTTAGGCTAAGGTTGTTACTGGCTGCACGGGAGCCACAGCTTCTTAGTCACCTGAACTCAACTCAACCCCAACTTCCTCTTGAGCTGTGGAATTTCACAACAACGAAAGGCAGTCCATTCTTCAACTGGCTTCCAAGGCTTCGGGTGGGACCTTTGCAGGATTTGAACAGGTTCGTGGGCTGACAAGAGTTGCCAGCACCTGAAGTGACCTGAATTGGTCGTCACAGTTAATTCCTTCTTGGACGTCTACAGGTGAGGGTTCATGGGGGAGAGAAAGGGAAGGATGGCATGGATGAGATCCCAGTGCTGAGAAGGATGACGGGAGTGGCCGAGCATGGGAATCAGGTGCAGTGGTGGGTGAGATTTGTGGTTTCCTGTCAAGAATCTCACCGACTCAAACATTCGACTTCCAACCTTCCAACCCACAAGTGGGATCCGTGTGAGTGGAGTCAACTTCAAGGAACAATGTTTTCCCTCAACTTTGTGCTACAACACTAACCTTCAAAATACTCAAATAAAATATTGAGATTGATGTTCACTTTTTGTCTCAGTCTGTTAATTTGCTCTTTTATAAACATGAATCTGAATCAAAATGACAAAAGAAAGAAATCCAGCAATTGGACACACCAGGACAGTAACCACACAGATAGTTTACAAATTGGGAATCTTGAATTATTTATAGGTAAAAAGTATTTAAATAATTCTTTTTGTGTTCTTGGAAACTTAGTTACCCTCTTTCCTTCTAATTTCCTACACATTATTTGACATTTCATTTACTATCTAACATGCAAATCATGACTTCATTTGGCTTCTAAAAGAACGCTAACTTAGATCACAGATTCTAAAAGAATGCTAACTAGAACACAGATTCCAAAACCAAATGCTGACCCAGAACACCAGTGCCATTACTTTGTGTCCTGTGGTCAAGTAACTTAATTTTCCATGTTGTGAAGGGCTAACCTCAGAGCCAAACAACCACCATCTTGGAGCACTCAGTTGTGCCCACTTGGAATAGATCATCCCAGCTGGGCCTGCTGACTATTTACATCCCTCACAGAGGCGTGGGGAGGGTCAGGAGACTCTCACCTGAGCATTCCTTCTTCCCTCCCTCCTGTGTGCCCTAACGGCATGTGACCTAGGGAGGGGCTAGAGTATATAGACCACAGAAGGAAAGGGGGTGCTCCATCTGCACTGGATAGAGACTTTGGTAAAGCCTTTTGGGGGAGAAATACACCCCTGTAAGTAACTCCTCACTTATGCTCTGTAAGGAAGCCCAATAAGCCCACTGGTTCCCCAGAGTGAATTTTGGAGGAATTGTGCCTCAGTTTGTCATTGGGACCTTGGGAGAAGGAGGAGGTATTGTTTTTGTCTCCCTCTGTGAAGGGATTTTAGCAACAACACATTTTTCTTAATTATAGTTATTTAGTGTTTGGTAAGGGTGTGGACACTCGTATGCCTTGGTGTATATACGGAGGTCAGGTGACAGCTTGCTGGAGTTGGTTCTCTCCTTCTACATGGTTCCAGGGGATCAAAATCGGGTCATCAGGCTTGACAGCAAATGACTTTGCCCATGGGGCCATCTTGTCCACCCTAATTTATCATATGTCTTAGCACTCCGTTGTTGTGAAGAGACATCATGACTTCCGCAATTCTTATAAAAGAAAGCATATAGCTTCAGAGGTTTAGTACATTCTCCTCATGGCAGAGAACATGGTGACGCACAGGCAGACATGGCAACTGCGAGTTCTATATCAGGATCTGAAGGCAGTAGGAAGAAAGAAGTCACTGAGAGTTTTACTACCTGAAGGCAGCAGGAAGAGGAAGATATTGGGCCTGGCTTGAGTATTTGAAACACCAAAGCCCACCCTAGTGACCCACTTCCTCCAACAAGGCCACACCCACTCCAACAAGGCCACACCCACTCCAACAAGGCCACACCTACTCCAACAAGGCCACACCTACTCTAACAAGGCCACACCTCCAAGGGCACACCTACTCCAACAAGGCCACACCTACTCCAACAAGGCCACACCTACTCCAACAAGGCCACACCTCCAAGGGCACACCTACTCCAACAAGGCCACACCTACTCCAACAAGGCCACACCTGCTCCAAGGGCACACCTACTCCAACAAGGCCACACCTACTCCAACAGGGTCATAAGTCCTAATCCTTTCAAATGGTCCCCCTCCTTATGAGCCTATGAGGTAGTTTTCATTCAAACAACCACATCACATGACACTGTAATTATTATTAGTGTGTAACATTATTTATATATACCTGCATATTTGCCCTGTTTATTGCTCTTTTGTTTTTTTAAATTGCGTGCTTTTTACTTTTCTTGTGTATGTATGGGGGGTATACATGCGTGTGATACACACACTCATATGTGTGCAGAAGCCAGAGGGACAGCTGGTGTCCTGCTCTATCACGTCCACCTCGTTCCTCTGAAACAATCTCCTGCTGAATGTAGAGCGAGGCTTACATTCAACAAGGCCCCCAGGTTACAGGTACACACCTGTAAAAAGCCACACACACACACACACACACACACACACAGCTCTTGATATGGCTGCTGAGATTTGTGCTCAGGTCCTCATGCCTTGTATCAAGGGCTCTTCCCACTGAGCCACGCCCCCAGCACCCAAAGTCCATGTTTCCCGGTGGGACTGGTTTTCAATTGCCCGAAGAACTTGGTTCTTCTTTCAGCTTGTGTTCCCTTAGTTTCTGTGAAGTGTATTACTCTCCTTTCTTTCTTTTACACCTTTTCACTCACCCTCCCTCCTTCTTGCCCAGCTCTTGGTTTTCAAATAAAGTTCAGCTGCTAAACTGTATGAAATATGTCATTTTCTTCTTGCTCTTTTCAGGGTTTGCTCACTCTCGCTGGGTCGTTTTCTTAATTCGCGTGTTCTGCTCTAACAAACGCCACTGGCTGAGTAATTTATAAAGAACTGCGATTTATTTTCCTACTGTCCTTGTAGAAGCGGAGAAATCCAAGCTGAAGGTCCCAGCAAGTTCCGAGTCTAGGGGATGCCTGTCCTGGATTCCAGGATGGTACCTGTGTCCTGCTGTGGCCTCTTCACAAGGTAGAAGGCAGAAGGAAGACAGAAGGGCAGAGCGGGGAATCTGGACAGCGACATGGAAGAGATTGAAGGGGACTAACCTCCATCCTTGAGTCCTTTCATGAGGGCTACCCTATCATCCCTGAGGGCTTTACTTCTTACTTAGTCACGTGTTAAAGTGTCGCCCCCTAACGTAAGCTTATTGGTAACTACTTTTCAACCTAAAAACTGGGGGCATTTGAGATGATAGCAACTTTTGGTAAGTGTGCCTTGATGTGGGTGCCTCTTTCTTCTTCTTCTTTTTTTTCTTTTTTAACTTTTTGAGGGAGGCAGATCTCAGTACAGATGGTTGTGGGCCGCCATGTGGTTGCTGGGAATTGAACTCAGGACCTCTGGAAGGACAGCCAGTGCTCTTAACCTCTGAGCCAGCTCTCCAGCCCCTTTCTTCTTTTCTTTTCTGCTTTGTATCTATAATTCTTCATCTTTTGTCCAATGTCAAAGCTTTCATTGTCTCTTGTCTTCTCTCCAGCACCCCATCTTTTCCTGACATTCTAGACACACGCCTTAGCCATTGCTGTTGTCTGTCAGCTCACCAACCTTCTGCTGCTTTATTTCACTTTTCTCAGCCCGTTTTTCCCCAACTCTCTTCTTCACCTTGGGGTGTTTCCATTAATTTACCCTCCAGTTCTCATATTCTTTCCTCTGCCATAGCTATCTGCTTTGAGGAATATCAAGTAAGTTTTATTTTAGATCCTGCATTTTCTTAGTTTTCAATTTACATTTTTGTTTTCTACACTGTTTCTATCTTTGTTGAGGCTCCCTGCTACGCTGCTGGTATTCGGAGTTATTGAAACAGGGCTTTTGTGTTATTTCGTTGAGGGCGTTAGATCAGCCAACTCAAAATCCTCATCTGTTAGGTCCAGCCCCTGGTTCATCTGGAGAGGAACCTGATTTTCTTTTCTGTTGACTATGCTTCCTGGTTATTGTTTTGTGTTGGAGTTTTTCCTTTGGGTATCATGTGATTTTTGTGTTGTTAGTTCTCTCCTTCTGTATTTTCATAGGTTCTGATGATCAAACTCAGGCCGTCAGAGTATGTCTGTCAGTGGTTCTCAACCTGTGGGTCACGACCCCTTTGGCAAACCCCTATTTTCAAATGTGTTTACATTACAATTCACAACAGTAGCAAAATTACAGTTATGAGGTAGCAACAAAAATAATTTTATGGTTGGGGTCACCACAGCATAAGGAAATGTATTGAAGAGCTGCAGCATTAGGAAGGCCGAGGACCACTGGAGCATGGCAAGTGTCTTTACCCGATCAGCCGCCTCTCCAGCCGCTCATGTAATTTTGGTTTGCTGGGTGTTACAGAGGTCAATTTGTGGAGACTGTGAATTCTTAGATTTCCCTTAAAGAATGTTGTTTCCTTTCTGTGAGCAGATAATATTCTTAGGTAGACTTGAATTGTGATAAAAAATTAAAACACCTTCAGTCTTAGTTAAAATTTTGTGGTTTTTTGCTTTTAGCTCAGCCACACTGAGCTGGCAACAAGAAGGTTAAATTTGAGGATTTTTACTTTGTCTTTTTTTCCTTGTAAGATTTCTTTTTCTCTTTGTCATGCTTCTAATTTCCTGGCTTTACTTCTCTAGTAGTCCTGATCAAACCGGTTACAGATGTTGTCACGTGTGGCCCCCATTGCCACTCTATGTATCACACAAACTTGATCAGCCTTGGTTATGGTCTGGACAGGTGAGAACAGACTGGCACTTCCCATTACCCATCCCTCAAGAGAGTGCAGACTCCTCTCTATTGCCACCTGCTCATGTTGCCCTGTGCACTGTGACAGATGACAGATGTTTTATTTCCTGTTCTGCAAAAGCACAGAAAGGCCTCAACTGCTGGTGTCAGAAGAGGAAATGGAGGACTTTCTTTTCCTGTGTGACATTCCTTCACTCACAGTGGGGTGTTTTGGTAAGCCCATCATACATTGAAGGTACCTGGGGTCAAAAAATGCCTTTAAAGACCTAACTAAATAGCTGGGCTTGATGGTCCACACCTTTAATCCCAGCACTGGAAGGCAGAGGCAGGCAGGCATATCTCTGAGGTCCAGTTTATCCTGCTCTACAAAGCAAGTTACAGGACAGCCAGGGTTATTACACAGAGAAGCCCTGTCTTGAAAAACCAAAATAAATAAATACATAAATAAATAAAAGACCTAACTGAACAAGCATCACAGCTTTCTACTCAAATGATGGCAGACACTATGAACTAAAGAAACATAGTGTAATAAAAACATGAAAGATCATGATTTCAGAGAAAACAATAAAGCCACCTAATGGTTTTAACAACAAAAATCATATAATAGAGTATAAGAATAGACGTGGAGAGTTTTAACTGTTGTTTTATGACAAAATGCCCAACGTAAGTGAATTAAGAGAAGGAAGTCTCATGGTCTCAGAGGTTTCAATCTATGGTGACA